ACACCACTTTATGTTTCTGCTGGAAAAGGAAAAAAAGAAATCTGTGAAATTCTCCTAATTAAAGGAGCTGATTTAAATGCAGTAGATAAGTATCAAAGAACCGCCTTGCACATTGCAGCTTACTTTGGTCATGAAGAAACTGTTCAACTATTGCTTGAATATGGTGCCAAAATTGAATGCAAAAATAATAATAGCGACACACCACTTCATGTTTCTGCTAGAAAAGGAAATAAAGAAATCTGTAAAATGCTTTTAATTAAAGGAACTGATGTAAATGCAGTAAATTGGTATGGAGAAACCGCTCTTCACATTGCAGCTGAAAATGGTCACGAAGGGACTGCTAAATTATTGATAGAATTTGGTGCCGAAATTGATGGTAAAAATGATGAAGGCGACACACCACTCCATCTTTCTTCTCAGAAAAGAAATACTAACGTTTGTAAAATGCTTTTAATTCAAGGAGCTGATGTAAATGAAACAAATAAGAATCAAAACACCGCCTTGCATATTGCTGTTAAAAATAAATTGAAAGAGACTGTTAAATTGTTGTTAGAATTTGGCGCCGAAGTTGATTATAATTATTATGTCTCGTTACTTTCTACTTTGCGTCACGATATTGACTGTCATTTAATTAAAAGAAAAATAGCAAATTTATTTGTAGGCGAAAAATATCTACATAGGAAAGAATGGCACGTGTGTAAATGTGAGAGAGGTTGCGAGGAAGAAGTATTATCTTTAAAGCATGAAAAGATTAATAATACAGAGATTTCGTTCTTTGACATATTGAGTAAAGATTGGCTATTAACATTGTACATGAAAAATGAGAATATAGTGCAGACTCTAAAATCATTTGATTACGAAACAGTTTCCAATTTATGGCAACATGATAAACTTTAATTTCATAAAGGGTATGAGAAGAATAGAGTTACTAGACCAATGTTATAAAATTCTTCCTCTGTTATATAACAACTTTCACGGGTCACGACAATGCTATAGTGAAATAATACTTAGTTACCTAAATGACAAGGACATTACTAATTTAATTAAGGCTTGTCAGCCTATTGACAGAAGTAAGCTAATTTTGAAGGAATTGTAGATAGGTGGATCTGCTTTTTGTAATATAGAAAATTACTACGCAAATGCCTCTTCGAAATTATTTTTTCTCCATTCATTTGAATTTTTCAGTTCTTTTAAAAATTGTTAGAGTAGAACGGGGTGAAAAAGCCAAAGTGCAAAAAAGCCATTTGACTTGTTTAAAAACTGTTAAACCGATTTATCAGCCATTTAGAATATAAGTATACTATTTGGTAATACGCATTTACGCAACTTTTGAAATCTTTGTACATAAGGAGAAAACGTATACAATGTTAATTACATGATTTTTTTAAAGCACCTAATTTACCTCGTAATTAATATCTGTTATAAATAATATCTAAAACATATTTTATTACATTAAAATTGTCAATTACAATTAATTTGGTTCATTTTTATTTGTTATTTTAAATTTCTTATTTAGTAACAATCACTTTATCGAACCAGCGAACCATCGAACGTGTTCCTATGTTTCAGAAGCTAAAACGACATTAGCAAAAGAAGACCTCGTGGCGCGTAGGCTCTTCCGTATACTTAATCGAGGTTGGTGGAACCGGGCATACATTTTCTAGCATTTGTGTTACTTTCAAAGCAGGTAAGAATTCGGATCCAGCTTCAAAGTAGTAATTTTAAATTTTTTCTTTTTTACAGTGCAGTTTTCGAGTTACGTTACAGTTTTCTTGAAAAAATGTTTTTTATAATAAATTTTAGATATTTGTAATCGTGGAGATTTCTAGGTTCTGCACTGAGAAAAATAAAAGGTTAAATATAACCAAGTTAACCTAGTTAACCAACTAGTTAAGACTACTCGGTTACGGTAGCTTCTTTCTCTGTTACTGTAACTAACAGTTTATGATTAATGCTCCGTAAACGTTAGTTAACTTACTCGGTTACTGTAGCCACCTAAAAAGGCTACAGTAATAATATGAACTTGAATATTGTAGTCAATTAGCTCTGTTATAATAAAGAAACCGATTAATTAATTCTAAACCACCCAATTCGATTAAAATATTTTTTAATCAATAAAATATTCCCTTGATAAAAATTATTTTCTTTTATTGGAAAGAAATCTATTTGATTAAAAAATTATGTTCTAATTTAAAGATAACCAAAATTTTCTGTAAATTAAAATTCTTTTTTATAATCAAACAAATCTCTTTCAAATAGAATAAAATACTTTTAACCTCTTTAACGTGCATCGTGTAATATGTCATCGGGGATGTAAGGTTTAATGCGTTAAATATTCTCCGTTTCATTTTTATTTCTATGTATCTATATTGTAGATGAATTCTATATTTGATGGCTGCTGTAACATAATCAATAAAAATTTGTATCGCGTCGGTAGAAACCAGAATTGTAACAACACGACTCTCCGGAAAAGACGAAACGAAGTGACTGACGATATGTCGCCTAGATATGTTTACTCGGTTAAAATCTCAGAACTCAACGTAAATACATGAAACTCGGTTAAAATTAAGCGCATAGTAATAGTTTATATTCAAAAAACAGACAGGTAACAGCAACCACGAAAGTTTGTTTCCATTATGCACATTTCAGATTGATGGTTAAGACAATCCTTTGGAGGATTATTTTTAACAGATGTGTTTTAACCATCTCAGCTCGGTTGTGATAATCAGTATAACTTAGTTTCTTTTAACCATATCTTATTAAAGATATGGACCATATCTTATTATTATTATTATTTTCTTATTTATTTTTAAATACTTTTTTTTAACCGAGCAATTTCTACCACTCGGTTAAAACGCAATTTTTCTCAGTGTGAATTTAGATTCATTCTTCTTCTTCTTCTTAAATGACTTCTGGCTGCCAACTGTCAGAACAAACTGAATTTAGATTCATTTCATTTGAAAAATGTTAAAATTGCAAAACTTTTGAGCAATAAATATAAGGTTAAGTAGAGACCCGAAGCTCGTAACAATAGATCCACGATCTTAAGGTGCTTCTATACCTCCGGTGGATTGGTCAGGCTGGAGTCCCATGACAGCGTTTTGCGTTGCGTTTTGTAACTAGGCCATGAGTGTGAGAAAGATACAGATATAGGTTTGCTCTATTTGCACTCATTGCCTAGTTACAAAACGCAACGCAAAACGCTACCATGGGACTCCAGCCTCAAGCAATCGGCTCGATGAATTTTCACGGTCGGAAAATGTACTTTCATGGCGGGTATTTTTGAATAAGTAAATGTTGAAAAAGTTTTTACTTGAAAATTTATTTAAAAAAATGATTTTATCATAGAAATTCTTTTGAAATTTATGTTAAAAAACATGTTTTATTTTAAAAGTTATCAAATTTTAATTCAAAATGTTTTAATTTTCCAAAGAAGTGTAAAAAGCCTAATGTTTTTGAAATGCTAGTACAGACGGTACAGACTGTTTGTTATGAATGTACATAACCTAGCGTTGTGTTGTCGTGCTTGTGATAATAAAATCATTAAATTTAGAATATAATATCACAAGCACGACAACACAACGCTAGGTTATGTACATTCATAACAAACAGTCTGTACCGTCTGTACTAGCATTTCAAAAACATTAGGCTTTTTACACTTCTTTGGAAAATTAAAACATTTTGAATTAAAATTTGATAACTTTTAAAATAAAACATGTTTTTTAACATAAATTTCAAAAGAATTTCTATGATAAAATCATTTTTTTAAATAAATTTTCAAGTAAAAACTTTTTCAACATTTACTTTTTCAAAAATACCCGCCATGAAAGTACATTTTCCGACCGTGAAAATTCATCAAGCCGATTGCTTGACCAATCCACCGGAGGTATAGAAGCACCTTTATTGTGAAAAAGGGCTATATGTATGCGCTTTTAGTACGGCCTGCTCATGCGCAAAGAGCAACAGATTTCTCCGTGCAAATCCCATCCTTCAGCACAAGCTTCAGCAGCAAACTTCCAGGCCTAAGCACAACTGTTCGGTTTCGGGAGACGGTTTCGGGATATGTAAGATTTACATACATTTTGAGGTTAGGAAGCCCATATCCCGAAGTCGTCTCCCGCACCCGACTCAGTTGTGCTTAGGGCTTCCCTCTGGTTTCCCTCCTCATTTCTTTATATCTAATATTAAAAGAAAGTCTCTTCTACTTTATCAACTACTACTTTCAGATTTACCGCCTCTTTCTGTTAAACCTCATTCACACACCAGGTCTTGGCCAAATATACAGGCACAACGCCAGTATAGGCCAACGCAGAATAGATCTGTAACCGGAACCGCAATCGTAAGGCCGCAGTCCCATGGCAGCGTTTTGCGTTGCGTTGTAATGAGAGAGAATGCAGCAAACGTATATTTGCGTCTTTTTCTTTCCCATTACGACGCAACGCAAAACGCTGTCATGGGACTCTACCCTAAGCGTAACCGTAAGAATTGTGGGGATTGGCCAATAGATCTCGCATCTACGCCAATTTCCCATATAGATCTCTCACTCTTTCCCCGTCTAGGGCAGGTCTCCCACTACGTAGCCTTACTGATGAGTCCAAGTAGTGGGGACTGGGACGAAACGATATAAAGTGGTCTTCATACCACTCTATGGATGATATATACTTTTAAATCTCCATAGAATGAGTTAAAGAAGGATAGGTATATTGTTTATCTTTCTCTAACTCATTCTTACGCTTACAGTTACGATTGCGGTTCCGGTTACAGATCTATTCTGCGTTGGCCTTATGGGCCAACGTTAATTATATTCTATTCTCCGTGCAAATTTAAGAGTGGAGTCCCATGACAGCGTTTTGCGTTGCGTCGTAATGGGAGAGAAAAAGACGCAAATATACGTTTGCTGCATTCTCTCTTATTACAACGCAACGCAAAACGCTGCCATGGGACTGCGGCCTGAAGCTTTGACGTTTTTACGCCGACATGTGATGCAAGCTATTGTAGGAACACCTTTTTAGTTAGGTGCGATCGGCGCACAGGTATAAATGCACCCTTAACCACGTTGTTTTTAATAAAGGCCTAAGCACAACTACTTTGCGAATGTCGTTCGCGAACGCAATGCATGGGTTAGAAAAGAACAGAGATATATTTGTGTCCTTTTCTAACGCATGCTTTACATTCGCGAACGACATTCGCAAAGTAGTTGTGCTTAGGCCTTAAGTGGAACCTCTTTGATCTTTGATGAACAAAACAAAAATATTGACTCCTTGTTGGTACATAAAATCCATAAAATGAACGTTTCTACTTTGGCAAATAGTCAACAAAAACGAGGTGTTGCTACTAAAAGAAAAGCTTCATTAAAAGGTTTACGTAATGTCTTTGCACAACCATTTAATAATTATTGGTAAGATTTACAATTCAATATTATTGAATATAGATTTATTTTTTGTATTAATTGGGGAGCAACTTTTCACAAGTTAATATATCTTTATTTTTTTACTTCGAGAAATTTAAACAAATGCTATTTCTCTCATATGACCACTGTTGTTAATTTTAAGATTGAAAATATGTAAGAATTTTTATCCATAACAATGTTTTAATATTTAAGACATCGTCTTGGTTGAGTTGAAAATTTTGTTTAAGTTGAACATTCTTCGTTAATATATTTTTTTTTTAAATTCAACAATAAAAGAACGATTAGCAAAGTCCTTAAAATAATACATTTTCTATCTCCTTTTTTTAAAACAATGGATTTATTAGCTTTTGGAAACTTGCTCCTCGATTCTGTAGGTTTGTTATGTTGTTCAGGTTGGTTATAAAGGCATACTCTGACATTTTTTCTTTTTAAATTTTATAACATTTTGTATGTCGAGCTATTAAAAATTTTAAAGAATCGGAAAAAACTAGTCCTTTTGAAACTAAAAACGTTTACTTTCCAATTTTTTAATGTGAATAATTTATTTTTTCTTTTCTAAGTAAAATGTTGTTTCCTGGCCCAAGACTATTACAAGGAATCAAATGTTCTATATCTTATTACTCATTATATTTATTATAATCTTACAAAAAAGGTTTTTTAATTTATTCATTGTTTTTACAGAATTTTAATTTAATTTAATCAACTAATTTTACTTCTTAAACTCATCTAATTGCAAGAAGTTAAAAAATGTTTAGGGCACTTCTTAACCTACAACCTTTAATATAATTGTTTCCTTCTTTTTGAATTATTAAAAAAATTGTCTTTGACGCTCAGCGTCGTCGCTAAATTCAGAGACATATTAATAAATTATACAATAATAACTAGCTTAAGACTCAAAATTTAGTGTCATCTGCCCGACAGTATTATTTGCTTCAAAATAATATAATTTTAAACGAAGTCTCTCCAAATAATGTAGGTTAAAATTAATTTATTTATATAAACAATTTTCTATATTAAGTCAGGTTTATACGTAACAGCTGAAACTGGTTAGACACTATTTATTATTAGTATGAGATGTACTAGAGAAAATAAATTCTCTTATAATTTTCTAATAAAAATTGATTAAAAAATTAATTTTTTTTAAAAAGTTTAATTGAATTATTTTTTATATTATTTCAAGTTTTTATTTTCTAATATAGGTATGTATATTTAATTGAAGAATTTACGAATAATTGAAATTTCGTGAAATTGAATATTGTAAACAAATGAGGAAGTACAATATTCTTATACATAATATAAAATAATTTTATCACTGGGCAATCTTTAATTATTATAAAACACGAAGAAATTGATCACTCAATATCGATATCTTCATGTTTTATAGTTATGAAAAATTGAATTTATATAGTTTTAAGTAAAATGTTCTCTAATTTGACTAGGACTGGTTATAGTTTTGTCAGTAATTGGTTCGTAAAGTCCGTATTTTTCAATACTTTCACTGGTTCGAGCCCTGAATATGAAAAAACCAATTATCTACTAATAATATTGATTTTTGCTTCCTCATAAAGAAAGCCTTATAGTGATGTCGATTTCCGAATTTTTTAGAACCAATTATTTTTACAAATTTTCAAGTGTAGTACATATAATTCGTCGAGAGGAACAAATGTCCGGATGTATGTGTGTGTATGTCTGTCACCGATTCTTGTGGACAAATTTTCTCTTACACGTCTTGACGGATTTTGATAAAATTTTGTAGGTGTATTACGGTCACGAATACCAAAAATCAGACAAAAGGATTTTCAAAAATATCTAAAAAAAAATTTTTTTCAACAATTTTTTAATTTTTGAAAAAATAATTTTTGGATTTTTTGAAGTAACTTTTTTCTATATTAAAATTTTTATTAATTCTTGCCAAATTGCATTCCTGACATAAAAAAGGAATCGATTCATGTATATAAAGTATATATTTTATCAAAATTTATAGAATTAATAAATATTTTAAATTTTCACAAAAAATTGAAATTTTGTATTTTTTGACATTTTATCTTAACACTTTAAAATAATTATTCTAAAATGAAAAATTAAACAATTGGTATATATTATATTGAGGAAGCTTAATGATCATGAAATGAACAACTTGTATGTACAATTATGATGTATATAAAACCATGGCGAACACCAATTGAGGGTTCCAATTAAAGATCCGGTTATAATTTTTTAAGCTTAAAATTATTGCCCTGTAAGTAAAAAATTAAACTATTTTTAATTCCAATATATTTTGAGAAACATTTTGGTAATCTTTTAACAAATACGAAATGTTTTCAAGAAATTTAAATTTTAAATCCTTTTTTTATTTAGAGGTCGAGAATTTTGAGTCTCAAAAACTTGAAACCGGTTCTTTGATTGGGACCCTCAATTTCAATAAGACGTAATAAATATTTTATCCTTAGATACAATCTCTTACGAAATGAAAGTGTTTCTACAAAGCGTGACACAATGTATTTTCTTCATGTAATAGTCAGAGAAATTGTGTGACAAAGGAGGGTTTGGAAATATATAAGAAAAGTGTATGACTCTTTGGCTTCCGCACGTTTTCGAGTTCAATAGTCATAGAAAAAACATGCCCCTTTACTTCCGAGTACTCGCCACCTGCTGTCGGTTCTGCTATCTCTAAAAGCATTTCAAAAGGTCATGAAAAATAAAGTATTTTCGAGCCTTCTAAAAGCAAACTCTTGATAATTATTATGGACAACTTTTTTTTTAAGAAAAAACAGTATTATTATATTAATCTTTATCAATTCAAGTTCAGGTGCAATAGTTGTAAGTAGATAGATTTATCTTCTGGTTCACTGAAAAATTTTATCAACTCAAAACTTGGTCGGTTGATTTGGTGACAAGTGTGCAGTAAAACTATTTCATCCTTTTTCACATAAAAATTGATTTTGAGCCCGTACGTATGATTGCTTAGTGGCCGTAGCGTTGCTAGGCAACCTAGAACAAAACAATTGTGTATAATACGCGTAGTGCATCACATTGACGACAGTATATGTTTCTTATTTTCAATTGAATTGTATTCTTCCAAGTGAAAAGTAGATGCTTGAGTGTAATATAAAGGAAAAAATTATCTAATATAATGTCGGACGAAGTAAAGCCAGATGTCATTAAGAAAACTCAAGACATACTTGGAAAATATTTTAAAAAACCTCCTCTAACAGAAAAGTTGTTGAAGAAACCTCCATTTAGATTCATTCAAGATGTTGTTGCGGCAGTGATTAAGGAAACTGGCTTTCTGGAAGGTTTATTTACTAATGAGGAATTAAGTGCTGATATTTCTAAAGACAAAGAAAAGAAACTTGCCTTTTTAACAAAGCTTATAGATGTTATTAAGTTAATAACAGGTCTTGACCTGACAGTACGTGCAACAAAAATTATCTCTGGCCATGAACCCACAAAGACTAATGAATTATTTCAAGCAATTGGAAAAGCTTTAGACAAGAAAATTAATAGTAAAGAAGCTATTCTTCATTACAAGAATCGTAATGCAAAAAATTTGGATGTTAAAAATTCCGCAAAAAAGCCAGTCAAGAAATCAACTCCTAGTACATTAGCACCTTCCGTGAAAAATGTTAAAAGAGAGCCAAAGGATATTGAGAAGGATAAAAAGAAAATCAAAAAATCCAAGCCACAAGAACAGACAACTGTAAGAACAGACGAAAAGAAAGTTGTAAAATCTAAAAATAAAGTTGAATCTTCCCTACAGAAGAATAGTAAAACAGTGGAGTTGGATTTAAATCAAACTTGTTCCTCAGAAAAGCTACTTGACGTTCCGATAAGCCGTCCACCTTCAGAAAAAGCTGAAGAATCTCGAGATGATAAAGATGCTCTTTTAAATCAAGTTAGTAAAGCACAAATAGTTGACCAAAAAAGTGTTGTTTCTGTAAATAATGATCGTGAAAGTGAAAGTAATAGAGATTTATCTCCCAAGAATGCTGATACCATGAAAACTGTGCAACTTGGTGAGACTTCAGAGAAGATAAAACGCACGGATTCTGCAACTTACAAGGAACCACCAAAGAAAAGTGGTGAGCATAAAATTATACAAAGTTCAATATCACGTGAAAGTACATTTTCAGCAAAGGGTCGAGCTTCCGATTGGATAGACGCAGGGAGTAATCAAGTCACTGTTTCTAACATTATTATTGAAAATTTAGAGAAAGAAGAAGACACGGAAAATGATATGGTTGTTGTTGAAAATAATAAAGAAAATTTATTTAAATCGTATCAGGATACTGGCAATAATGTAAACGATGACCATGGATACTTGGTTGCTCAAATTTTAAAAACAGAGCAAGAACTAGTTAATACAAATAACACTGATGCTGCAAATAAAAAAGTAGAAATTGTATGGCAAACAGGAGTTTTGAAAGATCGAGAATCAGCAGTGAAAGCAGTTGGCAATTTGAGAAACTCAATTCAGAATTTAATTAAATACACAAATCCTTTAGGAAAAGTATTGGATTATTTGCAAGGGGACATAGAAATTACGATAAAAGAATTAATGGATTATGAGAAACAATATGCTGCTGTAAATGAGTTGCTGGAAGAAGAGCGCATGCAGACCGAAAAATTTATGAGTCACATGGAAGAATCTTTGAATGACATCAAAATGCACGTTTTCGACGAACAGAATAAAATCCATCAGATGAAAATTAATATTTCAAAAAATGAACACCAAATTCAACGGTTATTAAATGACAGTGCTTAAAACATAATTAAAAATGTATGTTATTTTTATATTCTTTAGACTATAAATTCAGTCACGTTTTATAATTGTAGGATTTTTGAAAGATTTGCACTCACTATACTCTCTAGTAGCACTGATGTATTTGCATGTATACCATTTGTTTCATCACAATAGTAAGACATTAAAAAGTGTTTTCCCTTTTTTTAATTACTTGTTTAATTTATTTACTTTCAGTTACTATTCTTCTTTACATTACTTTTATTTAGTACTTGCAAATAAATTTTTAATTTTTACTTGATAATATGACGTGCCCAGTCGGAAACCTTGAACAATTTCAAATATTCTAAAAAGTTCTAGTTTCACCTTATTTTCTGCGGTAAATGGATCAATCCATTTATTTCGTTTAAAGTGGTCGCCGCCTAATTTCAAAAACTTGTAAAACATGATTTTGATGTTAAATGGAAAGATATTTTCAAAAAAATTTACATCTTTTGCTAAATATGAATTTCAAGTGTAAGAGATGTTAAAACTGTCAGTTTTCAGGCAGTAAATAATAATTTAAAAGACATACAATTTACTATAAAAATACAACAAAAATTATTGACCTTTGTTAAGAAAGTCTAAATTTATTATTATAACCCAGGTGCGAATTTTGGTCGGCCGCCAGAGTTGGAAGGTCGGGCGCAGGTCGGCCCATCTATGGCTGCCAATAGGTCGGCAGCCAAAGTCGGGCCGACTTTGGTTACTGTTTCCACCCAAGTTTGGGCCGACTATGGGTGCCAAAGTTTAGAGAACCTAATTTTAGTTGGTCGGGCCGACTCTGGCCTCAGTCGGGCCGATGGTCGGTAAAACTATGGCAGCCAGAGTTTAGAGAACCTAATTTTAGTTGGTCGGGCCGACTCTGGCCTGAGTCGGGCCGATGGTCGGCTAAAGTATGGCAGCCAGAGTTTAAAAAGGTTAATTTCTGTTGGTCGGGCCGACTTTGGCCTGAGTCGGGCCGATGGTCGGTAAAACTATGGCAACCAGAGTTTAGAGAACCTAATTTTAGTTGGTCGGGCCGACTCTGGCCTGAGTCGGGCCGATGGTCGGTAAAACTATGGCAGCCAGAGTTTAGAGAACCTAATTTTAGTTGGTCGGGCCGACTCTGGCCTGAGTCGGGCCGATGGTCGGCTAAAGTATGGCAGCCAGAGTTTAAAAAGGTTAATTTCTGTTGGTCGGGCCGACTTTGGCCTGAGTCGGGCCGATGGTGGGTTAAACTATGGCAGCCAGAGTTTAAAAAACCTAATTTCAATTGGTCGGGCCGACTCTGGCCTGAGTCGGGCCGACGGTCGGTAAAACTATGGCAGCCAGAGTGCAAAAAACCTAATTTCACTTGGTCGGGCCGACTCTGGCCTGAGTCGGGCCGACGGTCGGTAAAACTATGGCAGCCAGAGTTTAGAGAACCTAATTTTAGTTGGTCGGGCCGACTTTGGCCTGAGTCGGGCCGATGGTGGGTTAAACTATGGCAGCCAGAGTTTAAAAAACCTAATTTCAATTGGTCGGGCCGACTCTGGCCTGAGTCGGGCCGACGGTCGGTAAAACTATGGCAGCCAGAGTGCAAAAAACCTAATTTCACTTGGTCGGGCCGACTCTGGCCTGAGTCGGGCCGACGGTCGGTAAAACTATGGCAGCCAGAGTGCAAAAAACCTAATTTCACTTGGTCGGGCCGACTCTGGCCTGAGTCGGGCCGACGGTCGGTAAAACTATGGCAGCCAGAGTTTAGAGAACCTAATTTTAGTTGGTCGGGCCGACTTTGGCCTGAGTCGGGCCGACGGTCGGTAAAACTATGGCAGCCAGAGTGCAAAAAACCTAATTTCACTTGGTCGGGCCGACTCTGGCCTGAGTCGGGCCGACGGTCGGTAAAACTATGGCAGCCAGAGTTTAGAGAACCTAATTTTAGTTGGTCGGGCCGACTCTGGCCTGAGTCGGGCCGATGGTGGGTTAAACTATGGCAGCCAGAGTTTAAAAAACCTAATTTCAATTGGTCGGGCCGACTCTGGCCTGAGTCGGGCCGACGGTCGGTAAAACTATGGCAGCCAGAGTTTAGAGAACCTAATTTTAGTTGGTCGGGCCGACTCTGGCCTGAGTCGGGCCGATGGTGGGTTAAACTATGGCAGCCAGAGTTTAAAAAACCTAATTTCAATTGGTCGGGCCGACTCTGGCCTGAGTCGGGCCGACGGTCGGTAAAACTATGGCAGCCAGAGTGCAAAAAACCTAATTTCACTTGGTCGGGCCGACTTTGGCCAGAGTCGGGCCGATGGTCAGTTTGAAGTTGCAGCTTATAAAATCATTTTTGTTCTTAGGCTTTCATGTAAGCGTAGCGTAATGGTTAGCGTGTTAGACTTCGGTGCGTTAGGTTGCGAGTTCGATTCCTGCGAGCGTTAGAAATTTTAATTTGTATTTATGTGTAAGATTGCGTTTAGTGTTAAGATGTATACAATAAACAAATAAATAATGAATAATAATAATTAATAATAATAATAAATAATTAATAATTTTTTGCAATCGGTCGGCCGACTTTTGGCTGCCAAGGTCGGCACGACCAAGGTTGCCAAAGTGAATCCGACCTTCTTTCTCATGGTCGGCAAAGCTTTGGCACCCCTGGTCGGCCCGACTTTGGCAACCATAGTCGGCACGACCATGTCAGCCACTGGACGGCGGGTGTTACAATTCGCTAGTTCGGCCGACCTTTGGCTGCCAAGGTCGGCACGACCATGGTTGCCAAAGTCAAGCCGACATTCTTTCACATGGTTGGCAAAACTTTGGCACCCCTGGTCGGTCCGACTTTGGCAGCCATAGTCGGACCGACCATGTCAGCCACTGGACGGCGGGTGTTACAATTCGCTAGTTCGGCCGACCTTTGGTTGCCAAGGTCGGCACGACTATCCACTTGGTCGGCGCGACCATGGCCCGACCAACTTTTCGCACCTGGGAAATTGATATAAGCATTTACAAATATATAATAATAATAATTAATAAAATATCCCAGAGTACATCAGTAAAGGGGAAAAAATACAGTTTTTTTAAATTACACGTCGGTCACTTTAATCGAAATAAAATGGATTGACTTGAATAAAATGTCAAAATGGCTCTTAGAAATTATATTTTGTAGCAATTTGTTGGAATTTTATTCTCTAGAATGTCATTTTAGCAGAATATATAATTGTTAGAATGTTGGCTTGACAGAATTTTCATTAAATCGATAATAATAATCAATGTTGCAGAATTTTAATTCCTAAGAATAGTAATGGGACAGAAATTCAATATATGATTGAATTTTAATTATATTGCGAAAAGTTGTTTCGCAGAATTTAAATTATGCAGAATAGAAATTTAGCAGATGTTTTATTAAAGCGAAAATCAATATGACGGAAATCCAGAATTTCTTGAAACTTGAACTTTTAGAAATAAAAATTTTGCTGTAAGTTATAAAATATAATAAACAGATTATAAGCATTTAAAATCGCATCAATTCATATCAAAATTGCGAAATGAAAAAAAATTTCTAAATGAAAAAAAAATTGATTTTCATAATTTTAGAAGCATTTTTTTTGAAAAAAATCTTTGTTTTTAGACATTTTTGATGTCTAAGACACTCTAAAAACGTCTCAAAATAAGACACCTCTTTTTGCAGTGTGAAAATGCTAAATATACCATTGTTATTCAATAATTGATGTATATATGAAAATTAATTTGTTTATTTTTCCAACTAATTTCAGATAATAATTATTATAGGTATGGAAAATAAAAAATACAAAAAAATTAGGATAATATTTTGATTTGAAATTGGTTAGAAAAATAAACAAATGAATTTCCATATATACATAAATTTAATAACAATGGTATTTTTTTAGCACTTTCAGCCTAAAAACAAAGATTTTTTTTTTTAAAATGCTTCTAAAATTATGAAAATCAATTTTTTCATTTGTAATTTTTTTATGGGTTCAAAAAGATTTTTTCTACAAAATTACGTATGGATTTCAAAATCCACCAATTTTTAAGAAAAATAAAAATTCAATAATGGTCAAAAAAATATTCTCTGACCGATTTTATTTTATGACCATTGAATTTCTCACAAAAAATTACTTTAAAAATGATTTTGTGGAATATTTAAATTATTTTCTTCAAATAGTTGAAAATATCGGTATACCCTCCCCTTAAGATGATAATTCATACATATTTACATATACAAATCTGTTTGTTAATAGGCCACTTCTCAAAAATGATCAAGTTGGAGTCTTGGAGCAGTCTTTGCAAAAGTAAGTGTTTATAAATATTTGTGAATTTCTTAATACATGATTAAGATTAGCGAACCACAGCACACTTCAGTCCACTATAATGTGACGCTCCAGTGCAACAAGTTTCAGAAAAACGCTTCAACTTTTATGGATTAGATGCCCAATACTTGAAGTTTGGCATTATTTTTACACGTTAAAACGCAATTCAAAAAATTTGGCAATGCACATTATCATTATGGCTAAGGAATCGCTTTTTCAAATGGTGTATCGAAAAATATTGCAAATTTAAAGTATAAAAAAATTAAAATGATTATTTAATAAAAAATATGAAGCCTGGATAAACGGAACTAAAAGTCTCATAACTCTGTCAATTTTTAATCCGATTGACTTGAAATTTTTACACAATAATCCAGAGATATTATGCATGAATATAATTTTCAAACTGTTTTTGAATTATTGGAAAAATTAAAACTTTATATAATTATGCCAAATAGTTAACTTTAATTATGGAATAATAATTTAAAAGTGTTAACATACACTGAAAAAAATATATTTTCGGTACTGCCATAAATATGACCAATTCTCACATATTATATTGGTGGATATGGAACAGTCATACAGTATTGCTGTTTCAGCCGTACGTCCTAACCGCATACGAGTATGTCAAAATTGACAATATCATTTTTTTCAGTGTATGATTTCAAATAATGTAAAATTTGAATTTTCTGTTAAAAAGAAAAATAGCGATTAATTTAACATATATATTGATTAAGTGTATACTTTATATCATCATTCGATTCGTTTTCGTGCCAGGAATATAATTTTAACAAGAATCAATTAAAAATAAAAAATAAAATAAAATCTTTTCATTGGTTTTTGTCAATTCTTTTGCATATCAATTAGGGTACAGTGCGGATAGATGCCCCCTTTCTCAGATCTCAAATATAAAAGAATAACTATATTTATGTATTGAGTGACTTCTCGGTTGTTTGTCAGTTGGGAAATAATATTTATGCGTCCCTCGCTTAATAAACTTTGATTCACATAAATGTTAATTTTACCTAATGACTAAAAAATATTTTCAGATATTTATCTTCTATACAACAACCGAAAACATCTATTCCTTGGACACAGCTGCGAAAGATGAGTAAAGCAGAACGACAAGCGATTAAAATTTCAAAATTAAAAGATGAAGAATCTACAACACCTACATCAAGTGTAATATTTGTTACTGGAATTAATGCTGTCACTCGAGGACTAGAAAAAAAATGTCTCAATTCTGTATTACTGGATTCTCATGTTGAACCTGTTTTAATCAAGCACGTAGTTGTAATGTGTGAAGCTGATAACATTCCAATCGTTTTAGTACCATTTCTAAAAACTGTTACTTCAGGAACAATAGGATTTAAAACTGCTGCTTTTGCATTAAAGGTATATATGTCGATCTTTATAAGATGACTAACACAGCGTCACCTGCGGTGTATACAAGCAGTAATCACTTTAGCTTAATTTTAAATTTTCACCTTAAATCAATTATAAGAGGTTCTAAAGGTGCAGTCAGTCACATGTGAGCAGAAAACGTAAAACCAAAGGCAGAAAATAATGAGAAATTCTGTTTTCGGTTTTGTGCTTTCTTAACACATGGGACTGACTGCACCTTATGTCTCGCATTATTTTGATAAAAATAAACTACTTTCAATTATTACATATTTAACTCTTTATATATTTCTTGACATTTGCAAACTTGAAATTGACTTTCATTCAACATTTTTTAGAAACAATGCCTGCGTTGGAGTTTACCTCTAAAAAAATTACACAAAACAGTTAGTTTTATGAGCTTTAATGTCACTTATATTTTCCATCACATCATGAAATTATTCCAAGAAAAATCCTTATTAACAATTTTCAAACTATTTTTAAATTCATAAAATCTCTTGTCTTACTTATTTTGAGCCGCTAACGACTGTTCCTAAAACACATTTTAATAATTGCTTTTTCAGAAGGAAGTAGAAAACTCTACGGATCATAATCTCCATTCCCTTCATAAGAAAATTTTGGAATTATCTTGTGAATTTGATCGCCCGAAATTATGTAACCCTCTGTATTCTGAACAAGTTTCTATGATCGAGAAAACTACAGAAAATATTGTTCTTGTCCAAGACGATGAATGGAGGAAAACTAAAACAGAAATCACAGTATTATCAGACATTTATTTATATCGTTCTTCTAACGAAGAAAGAGTTTTTATTCCGGAAGGAGATGGTAATAATTCTTTTCAGACTTCTAGTGAGTTTATCGATTATATACCGTTAGGCAAGAATCAAGATTCGAAAATAGATAAATCGTATGAAATATCAAGAACTAAGAAACGATATACCACGACGAATGATGTTTATGTACCTGTGAAAATGAAACGAATGCAAGGGAATAACAATAGAATTAAATCAACGAAAATTACTAAAAATAAATAATAAGTTGAAAGGTTTTATTTCCAAATTATATGTATAAGATAATATTTATTTACGAATTAAGCTGTTGAATGAAATGTCTTATAGATTTATAGTTGTGTAAATTTTATACGAAAATTTATATTAAAATATTCTAAACAATGTAATTAAATTTTCATCTTGCCTTCCTCTTTTTCCCCTATTTTACGTTGTTTATGGTACGATGGTGCTTTTAGTTTACAAAATCCTCGTCAATAATACTTTCATTAATGCAGGAAATATATACATTCGAAAAAGGAAAAATACAAGTGTTGTAATTTTACCATTTTGAATATTGATATTTTCAATTTTGATAATTTATTAATTAATGAATTGATTAACAATAAAAAAAACCATTACAAAACTTTACATTTCTCAAAGTATTTGAATGAATGTAAAAAACATTTAAAAAAAGCATTTCACTAAATAAGTATATACTGTTTTAAGCAATAAATCTAATGTTATATACACTACACTATATGACTGTGTACAAAAAATTATGCAGAAACAACTTTTAAGTAAGCAGAAATTAAGGTGTTACACAAAGTATATTAGTTTCATAGTTAATCATTTTTAAATTATTCAATAAGAGTTATTTAGAAAAAAATCTATATATTTGACATTAAAAATTCACAATTCTTATACAAATAATAGTTCTCATTGTTTATGTAATACATTTAATTCAAAATCAGCGACTGTTGGTAAATATTTGATGAACAAGTATAAAAAAATTAAAATATTTAATAAGGCTCTTTGAATTCATTAACAATTTTCAAAAATAGATTGAATACGCACGTTCGTAATTATTATTACTATTACACGATTATTTTCTAATCCGAAGTCTTAATAAAACAATACTAATGAAATAATTATCATTCAGACATTTCAAAACTCATGACCAATGTACTTGATTATAAACTTCTATAATAAAAATATAAAAGAGATATATATATATATATATATTTTAATGAATAAATGATTTGTGAGGATATCTCTATAGTGAAAGTACTCTAGAATTGAATCTATCAAGAGTACATATATGTATGTTACAAAATTAATTATTATAATTAATATAATAATAATATATCAACAAAATGTTAATATATTACGGATGAGAATCTATAAATTTTATAACGAAAATAAAATCATTGTAAAAACGATGGACGATTATGTGAAAAAATTATAATATTTCTTCAAATGAACAATTAAGTTGAATGAATGTCATATTGTTATAATTATCTCAGACAGTTGATACTTCCTTTACCAACAATTGTGGAGTACGTACGATTAATTTATTTCCTGAAAGATCGAAATTATCAAACTGCTTTTCAACAGCAATTGCATCTTTTTGTGATTTAAAATAAACACTGCAATATCTAACTCCATTTCGTGAAATGGTTTTTATCTCAGTAATAGATATTGGTTCAAACTTTTCGAGAAGGTACAAAATGTATAAAACACTAAATTTCTCGTGAATATTAGCAACGATTACTTCTTCTGCTAAAGCAATTCTAATAGTTTCATCACTGCAAACAGACCCCTTGCCCGACCTTTGTTTCAGTTCGTCTGTGGAGACAAGTTCAGGAGGTTCTTTATCGTTTGGCAAGTCATAAGCAATTGGATCCGCTGCAAATCTTGAAACACTGTCAGTAGATTGACGTCCGGAATGAACTTGAGAGGAATTCAGTCTCATTTTCTTCAGCAAATTTCCATTTTCTTCTTGATTTGATTTTACAGATTCATCCACTTCTTTATGTTGTGTCTTGGGTTTAATTCTATTACTCAAGTGTCTAGAGTTGGAGTTATCTCTAGTACTTCCTTCATCTTCGTTCTGATTAGTTTTCTTTTTAGTTCCTGAAAAAAATAAATATTCCAAGTTCGTGGCGAAAGCTTATTAAAATAAGAAGTGTGTTATGTGTTGAGTCAAAAAAAGATTAGAAATATATATTATAATTAAAATTTTAATTTGACTCGAGTATTGTAGTTTTAAGACCTTGATTTGACTTTTACAGGGCTCGAACCAGTAAAAGTATTTAATAATTCTGACTTTACGGACCAATTACTGACAAAATAAATATAACCAGCCGAGTCTTAAAGGAGAACATTTCACTTGAAACTGTAAATTCAATTTTTTCATAACTATAAAACATGAAGATATCGGTCACTCCCATAGACAGTTTTTAAGACAGAAAAACAATTTTATGTGTATACAAAATGAATTTCTTAAAAGGAAAAATGCTCGCTGAAAGATACACTCTTTTAAACTGTATCAGTGAAATTTGACTGAGTTTCAGTGTCTCATTTAAATCTTTACACAATTTTAAATAAACTTTGTATTTGAATATTCCAAAAATTTCAAGTAAATATTTAATAAATTTTGAGGAAATTTTCAGTGCTGAGAGAAAGAAAGCAATGAATGAAAGCGAAGAAGTAGATGAAACTGAAGTTACCAACGTTTGTTCGACGAAAAATATAATACGTAACAATTTCCCCGCCTCAGATCCAATTTTTTTTGCACATTTATTATAGATACTAATATTAGAAGCCATTAGAAATTATTTTCAAGTGGAACCAGGTCGGGGAAGGCAACGATTTTGATTTTTTGTCACGGATTTTTCAGATTTTTCAAAAAATCTGCGACAAAAAATCAAAATTATTACCCTCCCCGACCTGGTTCCAGTTGACAATAATTTCTTATGATTCCTGACATTAGTATGTTTAATAAATGTAGAAAAAAAAATTGGGTCTGAGGCGGAGAAATAGACATTGTTTCGAAATTTCTGAATTTTCGAAAAATCGGTAACAACAAAAAATGTCAAAATCGTTGCCCTCCCCGACCTGGTTCCACTTGAAAATAATTTCTAATGGCTTCTAATATTAGTATCTATAATAAATGTGAAAAAAAATTGAATCTGAGGCGGGAAAATAGAAATTGTTTCAAAATTTCTGAATTTTCGAAAAATCCAAAATCATTGCCCTCCCCGACCTGGTTCCAGTTGAAAATAATTTCTTATGATTCCTGACATTAGTATTTTTAATAAATGTGGAAAAAAAATTGAATCTGAGGCGGGGAAATAGAAATTATTACGCATTATATTTTTCGTCGAACAAACGTTGGTAACTTCAGTTTCACAGAAGTAGGGAAATAGAAAGAGATTTGGTAACGATAAGAAAAGAGAGACAAAAAGAAAAGAGTGCTAAGATTCAGAATGTGAGACCACTTTATGATTGCTTAAAATTTATTTACCTTCTTCATGAACATTCGGTGAGGAATCAATGGCACAATTATTAGCTTTCATTTTCAGTGAGCGAAATTTCAGAATCTTCATTAAATTCTCAGTTTCAGCACATTTTGTTGAATCTTCATCATTTGTAGAATCAAAGCATTTGGCATTAAAGGAACCATTATATGTACCACCGTATGGTTGAGGTTTCTTTTTATTTATGGAATGAGCTGCTGATGAATCTTCGTTGAAAGAATCGTTTAATTCGTCATCATCTTTCTTTTTATTTTTATCACTAACTTTTTTCTTTGCACCTGAAATTTTTAAATTTACAAAATTTACTTTAACTGTCAATTAGAAAGAATTCAGTAGGTACTCATAAATTAAGTTATATCTTCCTTTCTTCATAAGTTGTATTTATTTAAGTAATAAATTATATGAATTTTATAATATTTCATTTTTTTTACTTTATTAACACTGGGCGATTGTAACAGGAATTTTTTAATAATTATTAATCAATCCTTTACGTCCGAGAAATATTAATTATAGATGAAGGAAAATAAACGAAAACATTCAGACAATTAATTTTTAAAAAATTGAAAGGTAAATTGTTCTTAACTTTTACTTGCTGGCGAATGTTTTTTTTTTTATTAATTTTTTGATTCCCTGCAGAGAAAATCTCGGTTAGATTTCGAAACGTTCAAGTAAACCAATTTTTTAAAAATTAATTGTCCGAACGTTTTCGTATATTTTCCTTCATCTATAATTTAATAATTATATAATATTTATATGAAAAAGTAATTTTAAACTACTTATAAATTTTGAGAACCATTCATTGCACAGAGTGTAATTTGTAATTTAAACTTTTTACTTTTACATAATAACCAATTTTTTTTTATTTTTAAACACAGAAAATAGTTGTAACATACTATTCGATAGACCTTATTTCATTAGTCAAAACTTCTTTTTCATATAATTATTGCTTCCTCATAGAAGAAGTATTGTAATACCAAAATTATTAATGGTAATTCTACCGAATAAAAATTTATTAAAGTACAAATTCTTTAAAATTAAAAGTGGTTTATAAATACAGGAATTTTGTTAAACGAACATTTTTTTCAGACAAAAATTCACTTTTATAAAAAATGACATTAATTTAAAGATAATGAAAATTTTAACTAATTAATTTTAGGAATTATTCATGCGTCTCGTAAAATGGATTTGATCATAACCCTGACATTTGTTGACACTCTCAAAAAATAATTAAAAAACAACTAAACCATATTTGTAAGTAAATTAATAATCAATTTGTAATAAATTTAATATAAAATTCTTACCTAAATTTCTCTGCTGACCATTCTTCTGGTTCTCTTTTGATTTGCCCTTCTCATTATTATTTACAACTTTTTGTTTCTTAGGTAAAATGCGAATTTTCTTGTGACCGTGTAAACCTTGAACAGCACATTCTGCTTCTTCTTCTGACTTGAATCTAACAAATCTGAAGCCTCGCTCGTCTCCACTTGTTCTTACAGAAATTACATCACCGTAATCAGAAAAAATTTCCTCAATTTCTTTTTCAGATAGGGCATGTTTGTTTGGGAAACCTAGACAATAGGTTCCGTCTTTTTCGAGAGAATAATATTTCGCTTCTGTCATTGTTCTCAATTTCAAAATTTGTTTTATAAATTCAGATATTACTGCACGTGCTTGAAAGCCGACTTCTCAAAAGCATTAGTTTTCCTTTTATATTAAGTTACAATTTTTCAGGTAATCAAAATTTATATTCAAATTTATTATAGACACTTGGGAAAGGAAATTTTTAATTTATCTCTTACGAATAGGAAAAGATTAAATTTCTTATTATATTTATCTACTTGCTTCTTGGAAAAAGACGGCGACAAGTCTCGTTTATCATGCCCAAATCAAAATAAAAGGATAAAGCAGTGTTTACATGCCTGCGTTTAGGGTGTATTTGTACCAAAAAATATCAAAATCGCGTTCTAATGAGATAGAAGGAGGCAGACTAATGAAGTAGAATAGGACACATATATATATATATCCGGCACAATCCTTGTGCGAGCAACCTAATCGAGCCTTAAGGTCTTTCTCCAATAGAATCTCAAGATGTCAGCGAGAAAACGGGAAACGTTTAGCTAATGAAGCGTTTACACCTTCTGTAAAAATTGTCCAGAAAGGAAAATTTGCATTGGAGTAAGAGAGTCATATACACAGTCTGTCTCTCTTACTCCAATGAAAAATTTTCCGTTCTGGAAATTTTTACCGAAGGTGTAAATGCTCCCTCAGGGTGGAGTCCCATGACAGCGTTTTGCGTTGCGTCGTAATGGGAGAGAAAAAGACGCAAATATACGTTTGCTGCATTCTCTCTCATTACAACGCAACGCAAAACGCTGCCATGGGACTGTAAACACGGCCTTACGTTTTCTGCTATACATTCAAAACCCTGTTTGGAAGCAGACAATCTGTGGCTGATCCAAGGGCTGATCCTTAAAAATGTAATGTTTGTAAATAGTTGATTTTTTATAATATTTTCAATTAATTAATTAATAATGGATTTAAGTTCATTCAAGTATAGAAATCCAATTTGAAAACAACAGAAAATAGGAATTACCGCTTTTAAAGGACGATCGCATTTAAAAAGGTGTTCAGGGTATTCTTTTGTATTATGTGAGTTTAAATGGTTTAAATTTTAGTCTTATCACATTTTATTTCTAGATGATGAAAAGCATTGTATTTGTGATGAAAAAACACTTTCGAATGTGCCTTTTTCATACAATATGGTGACTTTACATTGTACATGTACTGCACAAGTGTGAATTTAAAGTGACAAACAACTTTAATAGGTTATGGTTTCGCCCGTCTCAAAAATACACAAAGTTGGGCGAAATAAGAAAAATATAGTTTATTTCGTAAACCAAAAGAAAAGAAATAGTTTATTTCGTCCTTCGGAAAAAGGATTTGCTAAATAAGAAACTGGCGAAATGATTCATTCGCCCGTCAGATAAATAATAACACGATTGATAGGAGAACTAAATTATTTCTTCGCACATAAATAATTAAACATAACCTGTAATTCATAAGAATTTACCAAGTATGAAATGTACACTGTAAAAAAAAATTTCTGTAGATTTACAGTTTTGTTTAGAATTTTATAAAAACTTGTAAAATAACTTCTTTAAAAGTAGTGAATTTAAAATCCCTTCTGTAAAATTAATACTTTTAATGTGTCAATTTTACAATTTTCTGTAAATTTACTACTCTGAATGTAGGTAATATTTTTGTCTTTTTATTACCTTCATTCAGAGTAGTAAATTTACAGAAAATTGTAAAATTGACACATTAAAAGTATTAATTTTACAGAAGGGATTTTAAATTCACTACTTTTAAAGAAGTTATTTTACAAATTTTTATAAAATTCTAAACAAAACTGTAAATCTACAGAAATTTTTTTTTACAGTGTAGTTTATGTTAAAATTAAAACCAATTTTAGAGATTTATTAGTGCAATAGAGAAATACTTTTTTAACTATAATATTACTAATTGTTTTAAAAAAATGTTATTTATTAACTTTTACAGAAATATTTTCAATGTACGAATAACTAAATATTTAAAAACATTTTCGAGTTAAAAGGTTAAATTTTTATTGTGTCGAAAATGCAAATGAAATAAAAATTCCCAAAATATTGAATAAACTTGACAGAATTCTGTATTTTATCATTCTTTATTCAGCAAAAAAAATTAGCAAAATCGGTCAAGATTTACTCGAGTTACTCCATTTTATCGATAAACAGTCGATATTTCGAGAGTATAATATTGTATAATTTTGCACTATAAAATAAATGAAGAGTTTATAAAATATTGCATCCTTTTTCAAAGGCTTTCTGAAGATTATTTTTGTAATTAGAAAAATAAATTCATTTGTTTTAGATATGAAATTAAAACCCATTGTTTTTATTTAAAATGGACCGAATGACAAAGCAGGAAATAAATATCCGCCGATTGCTAAGAATTTCTGAAGCAATGGCAAAAAATGATATAAGCACAAACTGGAAACTGGAGAAGGTAACAATTTTTTGCACTATTCGTCTGTCTATACACTCTAAAAAATTCCGTTGTTAATTTACAACGTCGGACGTTGGAACTAATTTGCTTCACGTCCAACGTAGTAAGTTTACAAGCTGCTAGTACGTATTAAAACATAATCTGAATGCAATTTAACACGCTGCGATTGTAAAATTGCATTCAAGTTATGTTTTAATACATACTAGCAGCTTGTAAACTTACTACGTTGGACGTGAAGCAAATTATTTCCAACATCCGACGTTGTAAATTAACAACGGAATTTTTTAGAGTGTAGATTATCTATTTCATGTAATTTCTATTGGAAAATGAGCACAAATGTTATTAATGAAAAAGAAAATTCAAACATTAACACAAAAAAAACTATTCTTTTTACTTTCATAGAATTCTTATTTTGGTTTTACGCTTTCTGCACACATGGTATTGCATCATTAGCAAATATACTTACCGCACCCCTGACATGATGGTGCAGTCCTATAGTAGTGCGAAAATAGTGTAGGTACCGTCTCCAATTTACGTTTTTTTAACTTTCGATTTAAAGATTCCTAAGCAAAGTTGAGAATATTTATGAAGAGTGTGAGTGACCTGAAGTATAAAAATGCCTATTGTGGAAAGGAAATACGAAATTTCTAGAAAAAATAAAAAATTAAATATGACAGGCAGATTAAACAATGTTGAATTTATGTTTCACATACATTTACTTGGATTTATCAAGTTTCTGCGCCGGTAACGTAATGTTCCATTTAATCAATCATATGTTGTAGGCACAGAAAAGCATATGGTAATCGATCAACATTTTACAATCTGCCTGTCACATTTATTTTTTCATTTTTTCTCAAAATTTTGTATCTTCTTCTCGAAATCGGCATTTTTATACTTGTACTACTTTATACTTTGCTTACAAATCTTTAAATCGAAAGATTAAGAAAAATGTATTCACGGTAAGCAAAATGTATTCACTTTTAACCCACCAATACGGTTTTGACGCGAAAACGCATTCACCGTAAAAGTTAGGCCGCAGTCCCATGGCAGCGTTTTGCGTTGCGTTGTAATGAGAGAGAATGCAGCAAACGTATATTTGCGTCTTTTTCTCTCCCATTACGAAACGCAACGCAAAACGCTGTCATGGGACTGCGGCACCCTTACCACCAATACTTTTTTTCCTATTCTGAATTCCTTTTTGACCCAATAGTATAGGCCATAAGTCCAAATATAACCAACATTTATATATGTAACGATCCACGGTTAAAAAAAACAAACAAACTTCAGATTTAATAAATAAATAAAGATTTATTAAATCTTGATTGATTTAATAATTCAGATTTTATAATTGGAGACATTAAAAACTGTTAAAGAAAGAGTTACAGAATAATTTACCTCTTTTTTAGCTTTTTTAATTCATAAAAAGTGTTTCAAAATTTTTTGGATTTTTGGCATCTCTCTATTCACGAGAAGAAACCTTAGGTCGTCTGCTCACCCAAGACTGGTGTGTCAGCACCACCACGAACTGACCTTAATAATAAATACATCATTTCTTTTTATCACTTTAAATAGTTAATTTAACTGTTTTTACAGTTGTTTAAATTGTAGTTTGTTATTGGCGCTTCCTGGAACTATATGAAATAGTTCAAAAATAGTCAAGTTTACTAGGATTTTTGTGTAAAGTCTTTTGAAGAAACCACTGATCAAATTTTACTATAAATTAATAACTTTAATATAAGCTTAAAAAATAATGGAATTTATTTTTGCAGTATACAGAAACTTTAGATGACATGATTGAAAAACTAAATGATTCTGCGTTGTAAGTACTTTTATATTTGTTTATATGTGACTGTCCGCGACAAAAGGGACCTTAGCTCCTATGTATTTACATGGAGCTAAGGTCCCTTTTGTCGCGGACAGTCACATATTGGATTAGAAAACACAGAGCTTATTACAATAATTATATCAATAAATTCAACAAATCATTTTTTCAATATTTAATCATAGTTTTGTTCTAAAAAAAAATTTTTTTTTGCATGAGTTTGCGAGAGAAATAGAGACAAATATATTGCATTTGCGCATGTCCGTGAAGAAGAAACTTTGTCATTACTTTAGACAAAGTTTAAATGTCAAATGGATTTACTTCCCTTTGCATTAGTTCTTTTCAAAATGGATAATATTCAGTCATATCCATCGAAATGTTTAACTTTTTTTGAAATTATTCTTTAAATTATTTTTTAAATGTTATTTTTGAGACCCTGAGGGGCCATTTAAGGCAAACAAAAAATCGATTTTTTTAAAATCTTAGAGTGTCATAACCCCTTAAAAATAAAAATTATGAGTAATAATGGATTAACTTGACCTTTTTTGATAGTGCAAAGATATTAAAAATCAAATAAAATAATCGCCCCCAAGAAGATCACCTTAATAATCCTCTCATTCACACACAACTAAATTAATTATTAAGGGAATAGGTTCGATTGTGGGCATACTTTTTTATTTTTGACTCATAATTTGTGCCCAAGTAGATATTAAACAAACATACAGTAGAATCCCGCTTATCCGACCTTTGCTTATCCCAGGCACCTATTGCGTTCTGCGACCAATCCGCATTATCCGAGGTGCAGCTCGGATAATACGGAAAGTGCCGTGGCTTATGAACATACATAAACTTGTTATAACACGATTTGTGTGCTCGCGAGTTTTATGTGCATATTTCATTCTTCCATTCAAAATACACTGAAAAAATTATTAAAATTTTCAAATTCTTTATTTCATTCGTGTTATCCGAGGTGCCCCTTCCCCACATTACCTCGGATATCCGAGGTAATGTGGGGAAGGGGCCGCTTATATAAGCGGGATTCTACTGTATGCCCATGTGGTGTCCGCAGCGTCCGGGAGGTTTGACGTCGAGGTATAATGATGTGCACTGTCAATTATTGTCTGGTACACACACCATTAGAACTCGACTGTCGATAAACTGGTTCTACTCGGGAGAAATTTTCTACATTTTTCCTCTCCTCCACTGCGGCGAGTAAACCCATCTAATAGATGGGTGGTCCAGGAAAATGCGAGTACACTGCAAAAGACAAGTGTATAAATAAATGTAAAAGAAATACTTGATATAATTTTAGTAAACTGCCCAAGGATACTATAGGAGAGTACGTCAAAAGAGTTGACTTTTTAAAAAATATAATTGGTACCTCCAAATTAAAAGATGCAGTAGAGAAAGTGGTCGCTACTCAAATGGTTTCGACTGGTATATACTCTACAGATGAATACCATGGTTCTAACATTATGACTCAAATACATCAGAAGACAAGCTCTAAATATAATCAAGAATTACGGTCAGAGTTATTCAAGCCTACAGGTTAGTACTTTAATCAAGTTTTTTAATCAAGTGATTCTTAAGCTAGACGAAAAATGGTAAATAATCATAACCTTATTAACCCCAGAAGGGAAATATGATTTTTTTATTCACTGTTTGAAAATATTTTAAAAAGCATAGAAAAATTCTTAAAAGTGCAAACCCGTTGAAGAAATATAATAATAAAGTTTGGCACTTTTACAACTTTTAAATCACATCAGAATTTACACACACACTGAAATTTTCTTTTTGGGCCTAGGTCTATAATTTAAAAGATATATATAAAGGTTCAAAAATTGCACACTTTTTCAGGTTAAAATTGTAGATTTTGCTTTAAAGGGTAAAATTAGATGACATTTGACAAAATTTCTCACAAATCTAGTGTTTGCTTGAATTTTAGAAATTATAAATTTTTAGAGTCGTCAATCTAACATTAAGTAGGATTTCTGAAAAGTATCAAACAAATTATTCATTGCTTTCCATATAGTTCTCAATCATTTTCACAACTCTTTGTTTATAACCATATGACTCTTCTGATTCCCATTTTTATGTAATGGTTATTTTATGGTTAATGGCAGCAACCATAAATAGACGAGTCCCATTTTAACTACAAGACTATTCGAATAATTTCTAGAGTTTCTCGACACCGTCTTTTAAAATTTTTTGTGGAATGATTGCAACTACATATACCATAATTGTACTTGCCAAGATGTCTGCGGCTCAAGTTATATTGAATCTTGGACCCATAAAAATCAGGGGCGTATCCGGGGGGGGTCAACCCCCCCCGAATTTTTGGAAAAACATATGTTAAAGCCTAAATGTCTAATTTTATTCTGAGTACACCTCTTATCAAATTCCATAGAACCCCCCCCCCGAAACTTTTTTTTGGCCACGCCCCTGTATAAAATAAATTTTGATTTGTGTGTATCATTTGAAATCGAATTACAAACACTTGATTCATTTCAGAGTGGTTTTATTGGGTTTATAGGCCAGTCGGTGAGTGCAAAAAGTGCACAAAAGTGCAACCTGAAAAGTCTCAATAGTTTCTTGTAGTTTGGGGGCCCCATATAAGAGCCCCATGGTTTGCTCTCGATTTCCGGTTGCAAAAAATAGTGTAAACAATCGTCAAAGTTCGAGAAACGTAGTTTTTCGATGACCCTTGCTTCCGGTTAAATTTTAGAGGAAAAAGTTGTTATTGAAAGTTGTAGAGCCTAAAAATACCTTTCAAATGACTGGTCATACGTTGAAAAAGGTTGATTAGTTTAGTTGCAAATGAATTTAAACCATTAAAAGTAGTACTTTTTTAATTGTTTAATAACTTTGTTAATAATTATCAAATTTGTTTCTAACTTCCCAGAAATATTCCCCGTGCGAGGCTGAATATATCCCAAAAAAATTCAACTTGATCGGGTAAATAGTTTATGCATAATTCCATTTGTTAACTAAAAACATGTAATTTTTCAACGGAATTTCCCCACTTTTGGACCTGCGAATTTCGATTTTTTTTCTTGGAGAGTACAGTTAAGGAGTCTAACTTTAATTCCATTTAAATGAGAAATTGATTTTTTTTTATTTAAGTGCATAATAATAGACGTTAAAAAAGGGTATGTTTTTTTGACATAAACAAATGGAATAACTCGGCCAATTTTCACTTTATCGATTTCTTGTAAAGGGCATTTGATTTCATTTGTTTCCACAAAACTTTTCTAAAAAAAAAATCCGATCTAACTTCAAGAGGTGGAGAGTTAACTTTTTTTTTTAAAAAAAATTCCTGACAAGTTAATTATTAATGTTTTTTATTAAAATTCGCACCACTTACAGTTTAATACATGTATTTTATGTAAAAAAATTAAACATAAGGTTTTGTGCATTTATTTTTAATTTATAACAAGTAAAAGTAAATGTATCCATTTTTCAACCTCTGAACGGCGGAGTGGGGGTACTCGGAGGAGCGTGATTCTCGCCGCTACAACTGAAATCAGCCGTTCAAATTTGCAAAAATGGTCATAACTTCGTTAATTATTTACCGATTTTAATCTTTCTTTTTTTAATTTGATGTATTTTTTTACGGTGAATCCAAAAATGATTTTATATGTTTTCAAAATACAATATTCTTAATAATAAAAAAGAAAATTTTGTTTAACAACAAATTTTTAATTATTATTTATCATATTTGACAAAAAATTCTTTTCGAACATATAATTCTATTAAATTTAAAATAATATTATGACATAGAAAAATTCAAATTATTTACTTATAAGTGTGTAGCATCAGGTTTACATATGCACGCCTGTTTAACTATCAATACAATAATGCTACACACTTATAAGTAAATAATTTGAATTTTTCTATGTCATAATATTATTTTAAATTCAATGGAATTATATGTTCGAAAAGAATTTTTTGTCAAATATGATAAATAATAATTAAAAATTTGTTGTTAAAAAAAATTTTCTTTTCTATTATTAAGAATATTGTATTTTGAAAACATATAAAATCATTTTTGGATTCACCGTAAAAAAATACATCAAATTAAAAAAAGAAAGATTAAAATCGGTAAATAATTAACGAAGTTATGACCATTTTTGCAAATTTGAACGGCTGATTTCAGTTGTAGCGGCGAGAATCACGCTCCTCCGAGTACCCCCACTCCGCCGTTCAGAGGTTGAAAAATGGATACATTTACTTTTACTTGTTATAAATTAAAAATAAATGCACAAAACCTTATGTTTAATTTTTTTACATAAAATACATGTATTAAACTGTAAGTGGTGCGAATTTTAATAAAAAACATTAATAATTAACTTGTCAGGAATTTTTTTTAAAAAAAAAGTTAACTCTCCTCCTCTTGAAGTTAGATCGGATTTTTTTTTAGAAAAGTTTTGTGGAAACAAATGAAATCAAATGCCCTTTACAAGAAATCGATAAAGTGAAAATTGGCCGAGTTATTCCATTTGTTTATGTCAAAAAAACATACCCTTTTTTAACGTCTATTATTATGCACTTAAATAAAAAAAATCAATTTCTCATTTAAATGGAATTAAAGTTAGACTCCTTAACTGTACTCTCCAAGAAAAAAAATCGAAATTCGCAGGTCCAAAAGTGGGGAAATTCCGTTGAAAAATTACATGTTTTTAGTTAACAAATGGAATTATGCATAAACTATTTACCCGATCAAGTTGAATTTTTTTGGGATATATTCAGCCTCGCACGGGGAATATTTCTGGGAGGTTAGAAACAAATTGGATAATTATTAACAAAGTTATTAAACAATTAAAAAAGTACTACTTTTAATGGTTTAAATTCATTTGCAACTAAACTAATCAATCTTTTTCAACGTATGACCAGTCATTTGAAAGGTATTTTTAGGCTCTACAACTTTCAATAACAACTTTTTCCTCTAAAATTTAACCGGAAGCAAGAGTCATCGAAAAACTACGTTTCTCGAACTTTGACGATTGTTTACACTATTTTTTGCAACCGGAAATCGAGAGCAAACCATGGGGCTCTTATATGGGGCCCCCAAACTATACAAGAAAGTATTGAGACTTTTTAGGTTGCACTTTTGTGCACTTTTTGCACTCACCGACTGGCCTAGTTCTAAAATTGGTCATTTTTTAGAATCTTACCATATACTAAAATCATTAAACAAGTAACTTTAAATTTTACTCTTAGTTTAGGAAATAATGAACAATAAATGTAAACGCAAAAGAGTGCATATGTTTGTTTGATTTTCAGGTAAAAAGGACCAAGAATTGTCTGATTCTACTGTAGATACTGATGACACAAGTGCAGTCTTAAAATATAATAGTAAAATGCATGAAAATATTGCAAATAATATTCTTCTAATGACGAGAAGTATGAGAGAGCACGCAACTATAGCCAGTGGAATTATTCGAAGGGATATCAGAACTTTAGAAAATAGCAATAAACTCACCGAAGGAAATCATTTGAATTTAAAGTCAGAGTCTCTTAAACTCGGTGAACATACAAAGTCTAATTGGAGGTGTTGGGTTTGGATAATGGTTGCTTTCGTCCTAATAGTATTTTTCAGTAAGTAGATAGTAGCACACAAAGAAAAATAAATAACAAATATTTAAGAATTTAATTAAATATTTTATGCTTTACTTTTAGATATGATTCTGTTCATGAAGGTCGCAAGAAAAAAAACGTAATGTTCTTGGATATTGTTGCTACTCTTGAGTAGAATGGAAAAACCTTTTTTTTGTTTATAATATAGGAAAAAAGTAAAATAATAATAAAGTTAAAAATTAAATCTTGATTTGATTAATATAATTATGTATTTATTTAAAATTATTGTCAAATAATAAATATATTTACAACTTTAATGTATTTTAAATACAGGCAAAAACCTCTCTACGGCGGAAACTCGACAGGTATAGAAGTAGAAGGGATTATATCAGTGAGAGTTGTGACTGTGTGAGTGCCATGAAATTCAGGGTCGAAAAGTTACGAATTCTAATTTTTATACAAATGTTTTTTTTTATTGAAATTGATTAATTTATATTTGATTTATAATTTTTGTTTATTTTGTGATATATTTTATATATTATAAAAAATAAACATGAAAAATGATAAAATAAATAGAGAAACAAATCAAAGTAATTTAAAAAAAAATAATTATATTTAAAATTCATCGCAAATATTAAATTATTTTTTATAAATAATAAATCTCTTCTGAGGAATTCAATTATTTTCAATACACTTTTAATAAACTTTAAAAATCAAATATTTAAAATTATATCAACAGACACGATTATTTTAAAAAGTTGAAAACACTTTTTGTATAAAAATTTTTTTTCAAGAATTCAATGATTTTTAATACATGTTTAAAGCGCCGCCATGCGCAGAAAACCCGTGTATTTACGCGTACATGCTTAAAATTCGGGCTTTATATTATTAACACTATTTAAGTTTTTCAACTTTTGATTTTTTCACGTGAAAGAGCAAAGAATAATCTGTCGAATAGCACCATAATCTCAAAATCGATTTTTTTAACGATAGGTCCCTTTTCTCGTGTCGCGTCACATATTGTTGCGTTATCCAATGAAATGTGGAAACAACAACTTTTCGCATGGACGCAGTTTCCAAATGCTATGCACGGAGAGAAAGAAAAGTAAGCGGCTCTACCTGTCGGTAGAGTGGTTGCGTTAAATGCGAAACAGCCGTTCAACTTGAGGTTAAGCACGCTGCTTACTCTCGAGGGGAGAACGGTTCTCCTTTTTGGGGAAAGCGGGTACACTTTTTGGAAAGTAACCGGCTCTATTTGTGTGGAGAAGAGAACCGATACTCCTCAAAAAGTATAACCGTTCGACGTTTGCGGCGCTACTGCTGTGCTTTATAAAGAAAAAACAGCGCTCTCTTGCCAAATCAAACGGCTAGGACAAAATTTCTAGACACGGAAAAAAAAAAAGTTCGAAGATTATTCGGGAACTTCGTTCTTAACTCTTGGATACGGCGGGTAGTTCACAGAGAACTAAAGGTTGCCTCGTTTAAATATGTCATTTACTATTTCTCTACAAATTATAACTATTTCACCACTTCTCGGCAAACTGTTCTTGAAAAAGTCGGGAACTGTTCAAGAAAATCGAAAAGTTAGGCGAATGCAAGAAAAAATGGATTCTGCTTCCCCCCTCCCACTTCCCCTCCTTGACACGTCCGCACACACACACACACACATTTATCCTTGAAGATCACATACAATTTTTATTTTTTATTAAGTTTCTGAAATAGAAAAAACCATATGAGAGAAAAATCGACGGCGGCTGGAACAGAACTCGCGTACCCGAGGAATATAAGTCCGGCGTCTTATCCACGTGAGCTAAACAGGAGCGTTAAATACCTCAGCATAAAATAAATATATAAGGCACGCAAGTCTTACTGACGTTGAGACTGGTGCGCACAGTTTCTGCGCACCAAGATTCCTTGACGAGTTCCCGAAAATTTCAGAAACAGTTGCGGCCAGTGCCATGGACTTTACATGAGAAAGAAATGAAAAAAAGACTATTGGACTATTTACAGCGTTTTCTAGTACAGTTCCCGAATTTCTTTCAAACATTCATTGATTACCATTGAATGTTCGACGCTAGTTCAGAGCTGTTACCACGTATCCAAGAGTTAGGATATAATTCCTGAAATATCTGGGAACTTTTTTTTTCCGTGGACTACAGTAGAATTCCAATTATCCGGACGTCCGATATTAACCGGATTGTCGATTTAAAGAAATACAGTTTTGCGGATTTGAAATTTGCTTCTGATTTGGAATGTATATACGGATAGAAACGCAGCGTTTTAAATAGCAGATTGAAATCTTATTACTCAAAATATATACATCTTATGCTCATTTCGATTATCCGGATCGGGCCTGGTCCCAATTGATCCGGATAATTGGAATTCTACTGTACATCATATTATACTTTCTATTAGAAAATATAACAAAGTCAATAAGGAAACAATGTCGAGTTATACCGCCCCGGTTCTAGGACAGCTAAATAAGTTATAAAATTAATGATTTCATTGCCTACTATAATTAATGCTATATATAATTTAATACCTAATTTATCGATAAATATACTTTTAAATCAATTCTAACTTAAATGATCGAAATGTACCAAAGAGAAGGCACTCGACAGCACTGGAGGACTTGTTTATTTAATTTTTGTAGAATTTTAACGTTCAAATTATAATTATAATTGTGCAAAGAGAGCATTAGATATTATAGATTCTAGTAAAAATGATCAAATGTAGTACCTAAACAAATTTATTCCCTTTAAGGACGCTGCACGGTGGGAAATATTTAAAAGTACGCATAGGCGTAGCGAGCGATTTCTCCTCAACTTCCACTCTTTTCCCCTCGTTTCACCTCTCTTGGTGCAATTTTTTGACTTTGATAATTAATTAAAAAAAATCCAGATTGAAAATGAAAAAAAGGGCGATTTAAGGAAAAATAATATTTAATAGTGAATATAAAACAAGTTTTCATATGACGATTAGATGTTTCTATAGGCGTGAATATCAATCCGCGTTTTACAAAACATAGCAAACTGACAGCTCAATATGGGAGGTTAGTCATGGCCGACTATATCAGGTTGCACCGTTTGCGTAGTACAGTAGGAATGAACGTGAGGAACAAAAATATTAAATATCAATTACTCTTATTGTTTTCTATTATATTTATTATTTGTTTACTTATTTATTATTGTTATTATATCTCTTATTATTTATTATTATACTTACTTTTTAAAAAAAGTTTTTTATAAAAAATTTTTTAAACAAAATTATTTTAAATACCAAGATTACATTTTTTTATAGACAATTTGAAAATTATTACACTAGGAATAATATTGACACATTTAGAAAAATTACATTTTAATGGATAATTTTTTTCTTTATTCTTCATCAACTATAGTTTATTCCTAAAAAGACTATTTTTAGAAAAAAAATTTGGTTTTTTATTTCTAATGGTTTAAAATTTGATGCTTCTTTTCCCAAATTTTTCACTTTGATAATTTATTTTAAAAAATCCTGAAACTTTTTTAAAAGAATTGGCTTTTAGAAATAAACAACAGTCAATAAACATTCTAAGAAAATGTTTTCTTTAATTATTTAATGTTTCTATGACACTCAATATGAATCCGGGTTTTACAAAGCAATACAAATAAATTGCTCTATATGTGACGCTCCACGAGAAAAGGGGCCGTACACATAATACGTCACACGATTTTTGACCACTTTTAACCCCTCCCTCCCCCTATGTCACACTTCGTGACAAATCTTGAACCCCCCCTCCCCCCTACGTCACGTCACACACGTAAATTTTACTGTAAATTTTATACATTGGACAATATATATGTATATTATATCTTACACTCTAAATTATTGAATCAGTTAAGAATATCGGATTTAGAAGCAAAAAATCAGTCACTAATTCAAATAGTAATATTTTTTTCTGACAATTAGTTGAAAATAACTGATGTTTCAATACAATTGTTTTTGATTGATTCAATTAGTCACGTTTAACTACCTACATAGCACATGGAAACTTTTCCGAAAATTTAAGTTATATTTTCAGGAAGATTTTCACGAAAGTATAGTCGAAAATGCAATTCAAATGTTCAGGAAAGTTTCAAGCTATATTTTTAAGAAAATTTGACGATAGACATTTATTGGAGTGAGAAATTTAAATCTTTACACAATTTAAAAATAAACTTTGCAAGTAAATTTTTTAACTTATTCAAGCAATTAATCTTTAATATACAATATTTAGAAAAATTTCGGTGTTTTGTGGATAATTTTTCAGTTATTTTTAACTGATTCAGAAGCAAAAAGTCAGTCACTGCTGATTGACAGTTAAAACCATGATTTTTAACTGATTCAAATTAAGAGAATATCCCGTGTAGAAATTTCGCTATGGTCCGGATCAGGGACTCTTCGGGCCTTCCATATTAGGGAACGAAACACACGGCCTGATATGGCCCTGATCAGGAAATCCACATTTGATCGTCGCCCCGATCTGGCCCAGGTCGGGCCGTGTGTTTCATTCCCTAATATGGCCATAATAGGGATATTTCTACACGGGATATTATTTATCATATTATAAATAATATGCCAATAGATGTTAAGGGGTAACATCACCCAGAGCCTATACAAAATACGGTCTATTTCAATTAATTATTTTAAGAAAACGGTTCAGTACAATGTTGCTAGGTTTTCTGCAACGTTAAACACATGAATTAAACTTAATTTAAAAATAAAAAAAAATTTTTGTTTTCAAAATGGCGCCTTCACAACAGTTCAACGTAGATCACGTTTTTTAAAACAACCTCTGCAGCCGGAAGCTTTTCTACGTTCCCTAAGCACCTAGGCAAAAAATTCAAACGAATTATGAAAGAGGATGACATTTACTAGAAAAGTACATAGGATATTTTAAAAATATCAATTTTTCGCAAAATGGTATGACTTTGATGACAAAAATGTTATTTTTTGTTAAAAAATCAAGGTAAAAATGGTTATAAAACGGAAACGCATTAACCGATCTAAAAAATCCTATGTACTTCGATAAAGAATGTTGTTTTAAAGCTACAATCTAAATTTTAATTGAATCCGTCAAAAAATGTTGGAGAAATCCTTCCGGACAGTTTTTTTTTTACAATTTTTTCACTGTTGGATGTGTAAAGGCGCCATTTTGAAAAAATTTTTTTTTGTTTTATTTTTAAATTAAGTTTAACCCATGTGTTTAACGTTG